TTGAGTCGGGTGGCTCATAATTATGGTCATCGGTTGAGACTCATTGCGTTGTCAGTCTCCAAGATGGCGGACGATAAAGACACGAGTGTGAAAGTGGTAAGTTTTCACTCTATTTAACCATTTTTTGGTAGTTATTTAGCACTAAACCGTTTGCAAACGTTTCGAGCACCCTTTGTATATAACTTTTACTGYAAAAATAAAGCAGATAMAATTTTATAAAGTTTTATACTAAAAACAAAAGTTTACAACTGTTGTTCTGTAATTTCTTTACCTCTGCAAGCAAGCRAAAAAGGAAACTTAGTAGTCGTTTGACAAAAAAGAAACCAGAGGGGGGTGGTTTGGGTGGAAGATATGATTGCATAGAACAAGATTAAATRTATGAGAGGGTACATCACAAAAGAGGTCTTGTGTCTAGCGTGAAAATCCAGTCCTCCCAAAGAGGCAATTAATTCACTGTCCGCATCAAAATGGTCTTAATTCTTTAGACTCCTTTTGTGCTGTCCCTTCTGATATATATATATTTTTCAACTAGCCAACTCGGCAAGAAAAGACTAGCTCCTCTATGACATGCTATGACTTACTTTAAACCATAGTTAATTTATTTAACTATGTTTACAGCTGTAAACCTAAATAAGTTATAAGTTAATTGGGTCGACTGTGTACGTAAAAAGATTTTGTTCTGTTTACTGATAGATAAACGWGGTATGTAATAGTCGCTGAAGCGTGCTCGAAACGTTTGCAAACGGTTTAGTGCTCAATAACTACCAAAAAATGGTTAAATAGAGTGAAAACTTACCACTTTCACACTCGTGTCTTTATCGTCCGCCATCTTGGAGACTGACAACGCAATGAGTCTCAACCGCTGACCATAATTATGAGCCACCNAATTTTGCCGAGTTACCGCACCAAGTCGACAATTTTGACGAGTTAACCAACTTCATCCCAAAAATATAGAAGGCAAATTCTGATGACCGTTACTAGCCACCGTAGATTCAGGTGATCAAGCAAAGCTAGAGATGTTTAGTTTTCAGTATGTTTTAGCCTGAGTATCAGGCTCTCTCGAAGGGGTTTAGGGACCTTTTGTTGTACTTCTTAGTTTATGAAATCATTTCAGGTAAATAGTCCTGGTTGAAATTTGCCAGACAATGTGTGGAACTCGTTAATAACTCTGAAAGCTCGTAATTGTGATTAATGAACCCAAATTGCACTGGTATTTCATACTTGTCTCATCGTTTTCGTTTACTTCCGAATATTTATTAGTCCACAACTAGGCCCTCATTTATCCCTGCGTGCGCCGGATTGAATATTATTTGAATCCATCGAGTCAGCGGTCAGGTCAAAAGACCTCGTTGATGCACAGGTAACCAAGGCTCAATAACTTATTATAAAATATGTCGTTCGCACAATTTTTTTTTTGCCTAAATAATATTATTCTAACATAAATAAAACGTCTCTTACCTTCCTGGTTGAAAATCTTCCGTTTTTAAGAGGTTTTACGCCATTTTTGATATGCCATTGTTTAACCTACTTATATTTAATACAAGGTCGGAAACTGCTCGCAAAAATTTCCAACATTAACTCTACTTGCACTCAATTTTTTTGTCAAAATCCTTTCTTTTGTCCACATTTAACTGCTCCACAATAAACATGAATGTCCAAGGATTCTTTTGAAGCTCTTCGTCAATGAATTGCTTTTCGGGAAGTTATTTTTATCGGCCGTTGAATTCTAATATTCAGACTAAAGTAATGCTGACTATAACTAATTTGGTCCGGAGGCACAGTGGTCCCAAAA